AAAGTTATATAAAAAACGGATGGTATCATTACCCTCTCCTAGATCAGAACATCTTCATATATCACTGAACACAAACTGTTTTACTCACCATGCAGACCGCAAAGGCTATCAGAAACGCAATCTGCACTGAAGTTCACGCTACAACACTACTTACTACACAAAATACGAGAAGCCCTGTCGATACGCTGGGTTCAATCAGTGCATTTTGAAAAAGTATGATGGGTTCAACCACAAAATGAGCATAGTAGAGAAGTGGGGCACAACTAATCATAAAATGGTTGCTGTTGGAAATGGTGCAGCCAACCAGGAAAATTCCACTTGTTAATCTCTGCTTTTCACCCAGAAAAACCAGGTGGGCAGAGAGAGGAGGAAAAACCCCATCTGGTTCACATATTTACTTGTTATAGTTAAAATCTGAACTGGGATGGGGAAACTCTGATTCAAGTTCACCCAAGCCATGGAAGTTTTTGCTCCTATCTTCTAGACGCCAACTTTATTGGTTATTGTAGGCTACCTATTAAGGGATAAGGAAGATACCTATACAACACTGTCTGAGTTCCTGGAGAAATGGCAGGATACAAATTTGACAAATTAATAATATTTATGCCATATATATCCCATGATCTAGCCTCTGGAAGTTTAAGGCAGCCATCATCCTCAAATTTTATTCTCATAGCAACCACCTTATGAATAGGTTGGACTACAGGAAATCCTTACTTACCAACTGCCTTGTTTAGTGACCACTCAAAATCACAAGGGTGTAAAGAATGTTTTGCAACCAATCCCCACATTTATTATTATATAGCACTATATATAATTATAGTGTTCCATGGTCATGATTGCCATTCCAACAGTTCTCAACCAGCATGCACTTATGACCATGATAGCATTCTATGGTCACAGGACTGCAGTTTGCATGTTTCCCAACCAGTATGCAACAATGGAGAGAACACTGAAGTTTTAATGACCATGGTGATGATTCATTTCATGACCAAATAGGCAATGATTTTGTACATTCATGGTCACATGACTTTCTGCTTTAGTGATTGCAGTGTTAAAGATGGAGCTGCCCATCCCAACTGTGGTCACTAATGGAGGACTATTGGTGTACATTATCTCTTAGGCCAAAATCTCTCTATCAGCTCCATAACTAAGCGGGAATATGTACTTGGATCTCTCTAGTCCTAGTGTTAACCCATAAACTAAACAATTATTTAGTCTATTATTTAGTACTGTATTGAATAAGCTTGAATTGGTCAAGTTCATACACAACATTCTTAGCCATAAATGACTTCAAAAACTCATGTTTTTAAAGGGTTCATATAACATTTTCCATAGATTAGATTAAAAAGATTGGAAAGAGAGACTAACTCTACAGTAGTAGAGATAGTCAACCTAATAAAAGACAGACTCTAGAAAAGAACACTGAGCTGAAACACAATACATGTAAAATGTTTGTGACTAAAATGACATGTAATTGAAAGGAATGTAAATCTTGCACTTTAGTCATTTAAAAATGTGTGTGTGCGTGTTTCCCAGACAACTGATATGCAATTGGGGCTTTTAGTGGAATACAAACCGAATATGACTCAGCAGTGTGATGCAGTTATTTTTTTAAAAAAGCATTATGTAGTCCTAGAAGCAGGTTGAGGAAATAATAATTCCACTGTATTCCATGTTAATTAGGTTTCATTTAGAACACTGGGCACAACATTTAAGGACAGCGAGAGCTGGAATACATTCAAAGACACTCACCAGGATGTTGAGTGTCTGGAAAAGCTCTAAGGGAAACAATGGAAATAGCTAAATATATTTATTTCATAAATGAGAAGAAGATGGGGGAATATTGTAGCAATTTATAAATATCTGAAGGACATCACAGAAGACAGAGCTGAGTCAAATAAGAACCTGTGGCTAAAAATTATAGGAAAGCAGATTTCAGTTGCCTCAAAGAAGAGGTGGATTAACCTATTTTCCAAAGCACCTAAAGGCAAGACAAGAAACAGATGGAAACTAATCAAAGAGAGGTCCAACTTGGTCCCGTCCAACTCTGAAGACCTAACAGTAAGAACCATAGGCAGAACAGATTACCCAAAGAGCTAATAAACTCTATTTCATTGGCGAGAATTAAGATGAAACTGAACAGCCATGACAAGGGTACTCAGAAGCATCAGTCACATTGGAGATACTTTAGATAGCAGAACATTGGACTATACTAATTTTGAGGTTTTTCCATCATGCAGAGCAGAAGGAGAGAAGAAAATGCTCATTTCTCTTGAGATACCAGCCACCTTTTAGCTACTTCTCTTCCCTCTCCAAAAAGGCAGCCATCCATTGCTACATGAAATAACCCATCTACCTAGTCTTCATAAAAATTGTAAGAACTGTTAAGTATGGGTGTCTGGGCAAGATGTTTCCCTCCCACCTCCACATATAATTTTTAATGTTGTTTAGTTGGTATTATCAAAATATGGAGACTGGTATCTTACATGGATATTTGATACTAGCTCTATACCTGTGCTTCGCTATGAAAATATATGATCGGGCCTAGTTTTTGAGGAGGAAAATAAGGGGAAAAAATTGTGTCTCTGCCTACCAGCATCCCATTGGTATTCATCTGGCTAGCATCCAGTCAGTGTGTGAAAGAGTTGAGGGCTGTTTGGAAACTGAAGCAGTATTTGCTGTGTGAGCAAGGAGACAGCAAGGAGCCTGGGCATGGCTTAGCTCAACTGTTCTGTACTAAAGCTGGTTGCTGCTATGAAACTGAAACTGAGCACCCAGAAGCCAAGAGGAACATATGTGCCAAATTTCAAGTTTGTAGGCTTTACAGTTCTGGAGATTTTGTGATGATGCATGAGTGGTATTTCGCTTTTATACATATAGATTTGATCAAAGAATGTAGTAAACAGACTTTAGTATTATAAGATTTTCATGGTTCAAAACCAAACATAGAGTAACACAAGAATATAGGATAGCCCTTGACTGTTTAATGAATGTCTTAAATAACATGTAAGGAATATTTGTGATTAAAGCTATATTGACTAGGAGTATGAATATGAATGTAGCTCTGAACATGATTATGCCATATTATTACTGACTGAGAACTTGAATGATTACAGCAAATGTTAAATTCATGGTCAGAGTCAGATCTATAATATATGAATCTCAGCATTCATACTGAAGACTGAGGATGTTTGTGAAAAGAGAATGAACTATTTCAAGTTATAGACAGTGTTAAAAATACACTCAAAAATATACAAAAACATACAAAGTCAAAAATCAGTCCAGGTTTGTGTATGGAAACATGGAAATTTTGGTAGAAAGGCAGTGGTATGTATGTGATCTGTTCTACAGAATAAAGGTCAAAGAAGCAAAAGTGGCTTCTATATGTTTCTCTAAGTTCTGTTTTGTGACAGGGAGAATTGTTTATCAGGATAAACATAAAAGTAAATTGGAAGCAGTGGGAATGGCTTTCTTAACATGTCTGCCCTAAAACAAGAAGTACGGGTAAGATTGAATGAATGTAGATTGAATACCACATGAAAAAACACCTTAAGATGTTTCATCAAACAAAAGGAATCAAAATCAAGTTGTAAATAAATATATAAAGGAGATGAAAACTTGTGAGTAACGGAGAGACTGAGAAACTCTCGACTGATGTAAGCACTTTCTAAAAATATATTGTCTGATATTTGTGTACCTATACATAAAGTGGAAGTACACTATACAGTATTTTGTAATATGAGTTAAAAGTGATCATATGACCCCAGGACAATATAACCTTCATAAATATGAGCCAGCTACCAAGAGTCCAAATTTGGATCACATGACCATGGAGATGCTGTAACTGTAGTAAGTGTGAAAAACTATAAGAAGTCACTTTTTGCCGTGCTGTTGTAACTAAACAGTCTTTAAATGAATGGTTTTAAGTTGAGGGCTATCTGTATAAGTAATTTATTTCAAAATATAAAAGCAAATCTGTAGAGTTGTAATTGCAGGAATGTTCCAATCTTGGATGGCAAACCTCAGATAAAGAATGTTTCCAAGCAAATACAACTCGGGTAAACAAAGTCACTAATCTAAAGGAGGATTAGAGAGAGGAAGTAAACATATGTTAGGCTTTAACTAGAGATAATTAATTGTATGGATTACTATGCTAAACAGTAATGAAAGTTAAGCAGTAACCAAAGTTAACCAGTGATGGAGGATAACTAAAAATGTGTATAAATGCGAGACTAGACTCCAATAAAGCTCATCATGATTCAGTTGTTCATGATCAAACAACTCGACTGCCTCGTCATTACAACACAAATCTAAACTAGCTAGAGAGAACAATACTGGAGCTTTTTACTTCATTTTAATATTATCCTTCCACATCATTCATTCTGTAATACTCGTTCCCACAAACTTACCTAAAAGGCTTGCAGTCCTTGCAAGTTCTTATTTCAGCCCACAAATAAAAACGAGGGTATATTGCCATTTTAAGACTAGGCCACGAAAATTGGAGCTAAGAGTTCCTTTTGGTTATTATTTCTTGCCAGCACCATAGCAATACTTCATCTAGTATGAGATAACGCTTCTGCATTCCCAACCCACTCCTTTGGACCACAAGCATGCTTCAAATTATAACAGACGGCACTCCAACTTTCTAGAATTATACTGTATTTCCTTTCCTGGGTCAGGCTGGAAGCAGCCACTACTGTACACGGCGAAAAGAAGCAATACTTAGGATAAGCTCTCGAGGAAAGTTCTCCCTGCAAACTAGCGCGTAAAGGAGCAGACCGGAGGGGGCAAGGCAACCTACGCCTAAAGCTGCCCCTCGGATAGAGTAAGATGCCGCAGCAAAAACAGGGAGCCCGCTATTTCCACCTTAGAGGAGACTAAGGCATTGCAATGAAGAGCGTACTGTACATTCCTCAGGTTCCCCCACACATCCGCTCTCCACACACCCTTCGCCGCAAGACGAGGCTCTCCAGGCGGGCGCGCCCCGCATCCGTTACCTGCTGGCGAGCCAGGTGCAGCCCTTTGAGGCGTTGCTGCAGCTCACGGCGGTAAGTACGCGCCGCCTCGATGCTCTCGTGCGCTTCCTGCAACAACGCCTCCGTCTCCATTTCCCTCCCGATGATAACCCACCGCCAGTCGGCAGCGAGAGCGGCAGGCCCTCGGCTCAGCCAAGCCCACTATTGGCAGCAGCTTCACAACCGGAAGCGAAGAACATCCGGGCATTTGAATCGTGCAAGAGACAGGAAGAGGGGCGGAGTCTCCGAGGTTTTCCACTCGTGATGCGAATCCCTTATTTTAATATTGTTATTTTCGGAATTATCACCGATTCCAATTGCCTAACTCTGAAGAATGAATGAAGATTATAATCCGGAGCTGTTTTCTTGACTGATTTGAACCGAAGCGACGTGGTTAATTACACCAAAAAGGACTTAAAAAAAAAAACCCAAATTATGGTAGATGGGCAGGTACGTGTTAAAAAGAATAGGGTCGTCATCCCGAGAAGCTATTTCATAAGTCAGTCAACTTGATAGTTCCTCTTTCTCACTCGGGACTTGCACCATCCACCAACCCATTATAGAGCTAATAGTGTTATAGTACTATGGAGAAGGATGCTGGAGGCAATATAAATCACTATAAATATAAATCACTAGCTTTCAATATTAGTCGCTAGCTTTCAATAATTACTGTAAAGCAATTAGTGTAAATACGAATCTATGAATAGCTTTTTCAGTTAGCCAAGAGATTCCAAAATGATAAATTGTGTGCTCTGAGGTCACAATCTAAGCTATACTGTTCCATACTTGTGTTACATGCTATTGTACAGATGAAACAAAAAATGTTAAAAGTCATATTTATATAGTTACTTACCAAACACATCTAAATTACATTAAAGTAACCAAAATATATTTACAATGCCCAAGGTATGTCAAAACTTTTGAGCACCCCTAATATTTGGAAATTGAAAGGTGAAAATTTGACATCCCCAGAGGTAGTCCTTGACATATGATCACAATGGAGCCCAACATTTCTATTGTTAAGTGAGATAGTTGTTAAATGAGTTTTGCCCCATTTTATGACCTTCCATGCCAAAATTGTTAAGTGAATCACTGCAGTTTTTAGGTTAATAAAATGGTTGTTAAGTGAATCTGGCTTTTCCATTGACTTTGCTTGCCAGAAGGTCGCAAAAGATAATCACATGACCCTGGGACACTACAACCATCATAAATATGAATAAGTTGTGAAGCATCCAACCCTATAGCTTAAAAACAAATGCATATATATCCAGCGTTGGGAAGACAGCAACAGCCAGCAAATGCCATCTCTGCAAAACACAAAAAACAGTGGACCAACAAGTTAGCTGTTACAAAAAGGTGGCACAGATTAAAACAATGCCATAACATAGTAGCATAGTATATTGGAATAATGTCCAGTAATACCACTTGCCAAAGTACTCTGGGACTTCAGAATTCTAACAGACAAGCACCTGCCAAATAATACCCCGGAGTTAACAATTATTGATGAGAAAGATAAAAATGTCTGGATAGCAGACATTACAATATTTAGAAACAGCAGAATAGGAGACAAAGTACTGGGGGGGGGGGGAAACATAACAATATAAAGCAGAAATAGAACACTGTGGCAAAAGAAAGCAAAAACAATATTACTAATAATTACTGTAACTTGGGAGCAATCCCAAAACAACTGGAGCACTAGACACCATTGGCATTGACAAAATCACTAGCAGTCAATTACAGAAGGCAGTTTTACTTGGAAGGGCCTTACATCCTGTGACAATACCTCTAATACCATCAAATATCAACATCTGCCTATCCCAGGTACTTGGGAAGGGCTTGACAGATGAATTAAAATGCCAAATCCAGTCTAAACATCTGGCTGACTGTGAAACCAACTAATAATAAATAGTTGAACTGGAGAAGATTGCAAAGTTTGTAATCTTGATCTAAAAATCAAAGTTGAAAGATTATGATATAAAATGCCTGTGGTGGTTCCAGTGGTTGTCAGCACAATGGTTGCCCTACTAAAAAGTCTTGGACAGCCCTTAGAAAATCTGCACATTGAAAAAATTTCCATCTGTCAATTACAAGACTCTACAAGTTGAATCAACGTATCTACTAAGATGATACTAAATCCTAATTTCATGGGAATAATTTGCTGTGTATGAAGGCCAACACCAGCTAAAAAACAGGGAGATGTGATTTGACGTTATGTATATAATAATAATAAACAGTTTCACCATCAGTCTTGCAGAAGGCAGCTTTATTTAGAACAGTTTGTATCCTGCAACGATACTTCTAGCATCCTCGAACATCAACATCTGCCTATCCCAGGTCTTTGGGAAAGATTAGAGAGGTAGATAAAAATGACAAATTCAATATGAACATCCTCTGATTCTTCCACATAACTTGACATATTTTGATTTTAAATCACACCTTCTGTGGCAGGTGTACTTGAACCTGGGTCTCCACTGTTACACTACGCTGGTTTTAATGCATGCCTGTATTAAATTCAGTGCAATAATACAATTTCACTGCAGCTTTCAAATCTCTGAGGGTCCTACCCAAGGCTCTGGAAGCTTTTCGGGCACATTTACAAGATTGTATATTACTTTTCTACATAATATAAACATGGCTTTCTCTCTAGAAATTTATCCTAAGTGAAAACAATTAATTAAATGAAGTAAAACAATGAATTAAAAGCAACACCCCAGAAGAACACAGTACAAGGTACAGTACAATGCACCCACTTCCAATATTGCTAGTGAAATAACGAACTAGACGGCCTTCCCAGGGGCCGAATTCAACTCAAAACAGCCTTTGGCGACTTTGCGTCTTGAAGACAAAGCCTTTTGCCCCACACCCGCCGCGAGGAGCCTTCCTCCAATTGGCTTAGAGGTTCACGTGACATCGACTACGGCAACGAGCGGGTCTTGGCCCCGCTCTCTGGTCACGTGCTTCCCGGGAGCGCACTCCCCCCCCCCTTCGCAGCGTTGCTGTGCTCCAAATCCCGCCCACTTCCCCGCCTCTCGCGCGGTTTTTTCTGGTTTGCCCGATTGTATTTGTCGCGCGGGAATTTCTGATTCGGTTCCTCTTCGCGCTGAATGGCGGGGACGAGGGCGGCTTTCTTACAAGGAAGATGGCGGTGTTCGCGGCCGCTACTGCTTCGCCGACTGACGGGGCGGCTCAGGTAAGCGCTAAGGAGAGAAACGCCAGACAGAGCAAAGGAAGAAGAGGAGGACACTCTTCGATCTTCCTGCTTTTGCTCGCCGAGCGCGGAAGGGAAAGCGGTTGGGATGCCGAGATCTCTTTGTATAGGCGCCCGTAACCGGCTTTAATCTTTTGACACCTTCTTGTCTCCCCCCTTAATATGTGCATGCAACATCTGCCTATTAATCTGGATTTTAAGCCGGGAGTGAAATTCTCTTTTTGCCTGTATTATAGCCTGTTGATTTCATATGTCTCCTTTAGCGTACGCACACTTGGTTCTGCGATTCCTCCCAAAACCGAGGATCCTTGGCAGCTAATCCTTGAACTGCAAAGTCCAAGATTAGAGAGGAGGTGTCAAACTCTACTGGTTTTTTTTGTTTTTTTGCTGGCTTTCCAAGGAACTCTTTCTGCCTACTGTCTATGTGGAGATTCTCCAGTCATCCAGGTCATGGTTGTCCCAAAAGTGCTTTTTTCAAGAGGCAACTGGACTTTCTGGTCTTTCTGCATATTGTAATTCCCAACCAGGAGGACTCAAGAAGGGCCATCGGTGGTGGCTCTGGAATTCAAAGATTATAGTCCCTCTTTTTAAGATTTTAGTGTCAAGACAAATAGCCTAGAAAGTTAAACTCATTACAGTTGTCAAGATTTCTTCACAAAGTATAGAAGTTGTGTTCAGATTTATCCAATGCTTGGTAATAATTCTAGTAGTAGAACCTTGTATTTCCTATTTAAGGGCATTTTCTTATCCTTGGCCTGTCTGATTGGTATTATTTTGTTTAAGTCAACCTATGCCATTGATCTAGCAGCGAGATCATGCTCACATCCATACTTTTCTTTAAATAGGCATGCATGGCTACTTTGTTCTGCTTGACTCATGAAAAAGAAATTAGGAAATAATCTGCTGTAATATAAAAGATAAATAAGTACATTGTAGTCCTCGACTTACAATGACAATTGTATCAGGTTTCCCATTGCTAAGCAAGGCAGTTGTTAAGTGATTCATGCTCGATTTTATGACCTTTTTTGCCGTGGTTGTTGAATGAATCCCTATAGTAGTTACGGAAATCTAGCTTTCCCCACTGGCTTCGCTTATTGGATACCAGCTGGGAAGGTCACAAATGATGACCACATGAGCCAGGAATGCTGCAACTTGTGTAAACATAGCCAATTGCCAAATACCCAAATTTTGATCACATGGCTGGGATACTGTGACAGTTGTCAATGTGAGGACCAGTTGTAAGTCACCTTTTTCGGTGATGATGTAACTTTGAATGGGTGGCTAAACAAAAGTCAGGGATTACCTATATTATATGTCAGTTCAGCTTTTTAGTTAGTTAATTTACTTTACTGTCATTGCACCTCGTACAAGAAAATTAAATGCCATCTTCAGTGTACATTATACATAAAAAAACACATCCTTCACATGTATACAATTGTACTGAAAACCCCTGATATTGCATTAATATTGCACAATGACTATACAGTAGAATTCAATATAGTCACTGCTCTGGGATAGAAGTTGTTTTTCAGCCTATTTGTCCTTGTTTTTATTGTCCTGTACCATCTGCCAGATGGCAATAGTTTAAAAAAAGGGTACCCAGGATGAGATGGATCTTATAAGAAGATGAATCTTTTTTTCTTGATTTTTGTGCACTGGCACTAATAATTCAGCTGGAAGTTGGTTTAGGTTCTCTGAATTAAAGCCTGAATTTGTTGCCTGTTAACAAGAAGACATGTCTGAAATAAATAATGTGTGCTTTAAGTTGTAGAAAGATGTTATGCTTGCAGACCCCAAATGTTTTAAAACATCTTTTTAGTAGTGAATCCAAAGCGCTGCACAACACTTAAAATAATGCCAAACATTCTGAGTAATATGCTGAAAATATTTAAAAATAATTCCCAAGTGAATATCATCTGGATAAGATATGACATGTGCATTTTATTGTACTTATTCCTATGCTCTTTCTTTACAGTCATGTACAAAACGAAAGGAAGACAACCTTTCTATTAAAGCAATTACCAACTATTTTTCACCATTGGGGAAAAATGTTGAGAGCATATTGTCACCACCAAAGTCTAATAATATAATGGATTATTTTAAAAAACCTCCTATAAATGAGAATGCTCCTTTACCTCAACTGGAGCAAGAAAGCAAAGCAAACTCACTATCACTGGAAAATTCTTCAAAGCCTCCATCAAAACTTAAGTGGAGAGGAAAGCGGAATAACTTAAATAATAAATTAAAAACTGATAAAACATTTGAGCCTTTGATAGATAAGGATAATGATAAAGAAATACCCAATCCACAAGAAGAGAACTGTAAGGCGAGTTTCATGAGTCGCAATGATATTGCGTTGATTAGCC